CAAAACAAAAAGAAAAAATAAATAAATAACGTATAAAGAAAAGGCTGTTTAAATTTTACATCAAAATAGAAACGTTTGGCCAGGTGCAGTGGCTCACTTTGGGAGGCCAAGGCAGAAGGATCGCTTGAGCCTGGGAGATCAACACCAGCCTGGGTAACATGGCAAAACCCCCCTACAAAAAGTACAAAACTTAGCCAGGTGTGGTAGCGTATGCCTGTAGTCCCGGCTACTCGGGAGAGTGAGGTGGGAGGATCACTTGAGTCTGGGAGGCAGAGGTTGCAGTGAGCTGAGATTCGGACCACTGCACTCCAGCCTGGGCAACAGAGCCAGACTCTGTCTCAAAAAAAAAAAGTTTTTTAAATAAAAAGGCAAAGTCAGACAAGTGATAGACTAGAAAAATATTTACAACATATGAGACACAAGGGCTTATATATTATATACATACAACCATAGGATAGATATTCAACATCATTAGCCATTAAGGAAATGCAAATTACAACTATGAAAAAAAATTTTTGTTTGAGACAGAATCTCACTCTGTCGCCCAGGCTGGAGTACAGTGATGCGATCTCAGCTCACTGTAACCTCTGCCTCCCAGGTTCAAGCAATTCTCCTGCCTCAGTCTCCTGAGTATCTGGGACGACAGCCATGTGCCACCATGCCCAGCTAATTTTTTGTATTTTTAGTAGAGACAAAGTTTCACCATGCTAGCCAGGATGGGGTCAATCTCCTGATCTCGTGATCTGCCCAACTCAGCCTCCCAAAGTGCTGGGATTACAGGTGTGAGCCACCGTGCCCGGCTGAAAAATTTTACAGTTTGACCATACCTAGTGCTGACGAGGATGTGAAGGAACTGAAACTCTTACACACTGCTGGTAGGAATGCGAAATGATACAACCACTTTGCAACACAGTTTGGCAATCTTTGTTTTTGTTTTTTTGTAGAGATAGGGTCTCCCTACGTTGCACAAGCTGGTCTTAAAATCCTGGCTTCAAGTGATCCTCACACTCCGGCCTCCCAGAGGGCTGGGATTACAGGTGTGAGCCACAGCACCCAGCCCTATAGTCTGGCAGTTTCTTAAAAAGTTAAGCACACATTTACCATATGCCTCAGCAGTACCACTCCTAGGTATAACAGTCCTATCCCCATTCATAGTTTCACTTTCTGCAGTTTCAGTTACCTGCAGTCTGAAAATATTAAATGGAAAATTCCAGAAATAAACAATTCATTCATAAGTTTTCAATTGCATGCCATTCTGAGTAGTGTGATCAAATCTTGCACAGTTCCGCCGAGGACATAAGTCATCCCTCTGTCCAATATATATACACACCATATACACCATCCACCTGTTAGTCACTTGGTAGCCCTCTCAGTTATCAGACAGTCTAGACGCTGGCAGTATCCCAGTGCTTGTGTGAAAGTAACCCTTATTTTATTTAAGAATGGCCCCGAAGTACAATGGAGTGATGCTGACATACTGTTAAAATTGTTGTTTAATATCAGTTATTGTCCATCTCTTACTGAACGTAATTCATAAAGTAAACTTTATCATCAGAACGTATCATGAAAAAACATGGTATATACAGGGTTCGGTACTATCCACAGTCTCAGGCATCTGCTAGGGGTCATGGAACATATCCCCTGCAAATAAGAGGGGTTCTACTGTATTGACACAACATAATGAAAGCATCTGTCAACACAAAGACGTGAACATGAATGTTCACAGCAGCTTTATTTATAATAGTCCAAACTAGAAGCAACTCAAATGTTCATCAACTGATACATGGATGAACACACTGTGGTATATCCATACAATGGAATACTACTCAGCAATAAAAACAAACAAACTATGGATACATGCTGCAACAACATGGATCAATCTCAGAATAATTATGCTGAGTAAAAATGGCCAGACCAAAAAAAAACCTCAAAAGAGTGCACATCACATGATTCCATTTAAACACAATTCTAGGAAATGCAAACTAAAGCACAGTGAACCAGAGCAGAGTGGCTGCTGGGGGTGGGGTGTGGGGAAAGGCGAACACGGAGATGGGCTGGAGGATGGGCTCACCAAGGGCACATGACACTGTGGAGGGTGATGAGTGTGTTCACTATCTTGACTGTTGTTGGCACGGATGTTTGGAAACAGACGTTCATTCTACTGGGAGGATAAATTGGTACAGCCGCTTTGAGGAGGAAAGTGGCCTATCTGGTGAAACTAAAGATCTGTGTACTTCCTGGCACAGCACTTCTAAGCCTGGGCATAGCCCCCAAAGCTGAAATCAGTAAACTATAGCCCACAGCCTGGACCTTGTTTTTGTAAAGTACGTTTTATTGAATACAGCCACACATGTTCATTTACATGGTCTAATGCTGTGGCTGCATTCCTGTGACATTGGCAGAATTCAATAGTTGCAAGAGACCATCTGGCTCAAAAAGCCTGAAGTATTTTTATCCAGCCCTTCACAGAAAGTGACCTGATTCTTGCTGGAAGAGACACTGGCTCTTGAAAGCTAGGAGGCATGGAAAAGAGCCATGGAAGCATTGTTTATGAAAGGAAATGGCTGAAAAACCTAAATGTCCATCAATAGAGTAATTAATAAGCAAATAATGGACTATAAGGCTTCAATTAAAATGAATAAACTACATCTACAAGTATCAAAACATGAGAGAGAGAAAAATGCTGCATGAAGAAAGCGACCTGCATAATGGATCAACACTAAGGTGACATTAGAAACTCACTAAACACCACGAGGCACATGCAAAATAGAGATACACACCAAGTTCATCCTGGGGACTGCCCTCAGGGAAGGGACTGGAGCAGGGGGAAAAAGGACTTTGGCTCTTCCTACATGATTTTTTTTGAGACAGTCTTGCTCTGTTATCCAGGCTGGAGTGCAGCAGTGCAATCACAGCTCACTGCAACCTCTGCTTCCTGGGCTCAGGTGATTCTCGTGCTTCAGCCTCCTGAGTAGCTGGGACTGCAAGTGTGCACCACCATACCCAGCTAATTTTTGTATTCTTAGTAGCAAGGGGATTGGCCATGTTGGCCAGGCTGATCTCAAACCCATGGCCTCAAGCAATCCACCCACCTTGGCTTCCTAAAGTGCTGGGATTACAGGTGTAAGCCACTGCGCCTGACCACATTTTTGTTTATTTAAAAAAAAAAAATGTAGCAGGAGAATGGTGTGAACCTGGAAGGCAGAGCTTGCAGTGAGCCGAGATTGAGCCACTGCACTCCAGTCTGGGCGACAGAGCGAAATTCCATCTCAAAAAAAAAAAAGTAACAAAAATGTTTTAAGAAGACCAACAAGTTAAATTTAAGTCTGATGTTTATCAATATCCTAAAGAAAATCATACAGACACTTGCTGATTTTCCCCTAACTGTAACATACATCACCCCTGACTTTGAAGTTCTCACTACCTACTTTTTTTCAAAACAGTAGATGTTCACCAAAAAAGGACACTTTTCCTTTTATCCTCTGAATCCAAAAGATTTACCAATCTGAAATAATTTACTCTCCCGGGGATACTTTGAAACACAATCCTAATATGCCTGCGTAAAAATCATAGCTACAAAATTTAAACAAATGGATGCTTCAAAGGTGACCTCCACTAGGAGCCTGGAGGGACACATCCAGGGTTTTCGACTGGGTCTCAGAAATACCACCAGTGACACCAGGACAACCCCTCATGCATACAGAAAGAACTATGATGTATTAACATTCCATCGATGAGAAACAAACTGCAGAAGGCATTTCTCCTTTCAGCAAGGCAACTAGTGGTGCTGTCAGCAAAGCCTCTATCGACATTCTCCAGTTATTATTGTTAAAAGGGCTCCCTCTACTGTTAGTCTCAATTGTACAGTTCTCATTGGCTATTTCAGGCCCTAGCTTCATGACAAACTAGGACATGTTAAGCAGAATTATCTAAAACAACCATTAATTCAGCTGGGGAAAGATATGTATATGTGTGCATGTGTGTGTACATGTGTGTGCACACACACCTATATATAAAACTTTTTTAAATTGTTGAGTTATTAGGCTAACTATCCAAGAAACTTCTGTTTAAAAGAAAAAAAAAATTCTTCTTCCTCTTTAAAGTGACTATAAGAGAAAGCTGGCTGTGGCATTTGAGACACACCCTGCTGGCCCACAGGTGCCCGCCCCAGTGGTCATGTGCCCAAGGAAAGGGTAGTGGCTGGCAAGAAGCCACAGGTCCCAACAAAAGCACATCACACATGTGTGAGGGGGACTGCAGGGAGCCAGGTACAATAGAACGCATATTTCAAAAAAAGACTTAAAAACATTCCCAGTCTCTTTGTAATCAGCCAGGGCCAGGCAGCCAGCCTCCCATTCTGCAGACGGGACCTGGGAGAAGGGATGGGCAAGGCCAGAAGGGAAGGGTCAGGGAGTTAGAGCCCAACAGGCCTTTGGCTCTTGGCTCCTGAGCTCCCCAAGCAAGCCGCTGCCCCCTCCCAAGACGGGGCTGGATACCAGGCCAGGGAAGCAGCCCCACACAGAAAGTCCCACACTTTATATCCTCCCAACTGGGAGGAGGGAGGAATGGCATTTTTTGTTTCTTTCTGAGGCGGGGTCTCACTCTGTCACCCAGGTTGCAGTGCCGTGGCACAATCGATCCACTACAACCTCCACCTCCTGGGTTCAAGCGATTCTCCTGCCTCAGCCCCCCAAGTAGCTGGGACTACAGACATGTGCCACCACACCCGGCTAATTTTTGTATTTTTTGTAAAGACAGGGTTTCGCCATGTTGCCCAGGCTGGTCTCGAACTCCTGGGCTCAGGTAATCTGTCTGCGCTGGCCTCCCAAAGTGCTGGGATTGCAGGTGTGAGCCACCATGCCTGGCCAGGAATGGCATTTAAATATGTAAACAGACATCATTGACAATGGTCATATTTGAAAGATGTTCTAATTTGTAGGTTTGTAAATGTATGAAACAGACTGCTAAAATGCCAGTGTGTACGGAAATCATTCCATTACCTTCTCCCCAGGTTTGGGTGACTGCTGCAATTTCTCATAATCTTTCTTCGTCTCCAAAATTTTTTTCACAAGTCCACCTGTTGAAAAATCAGTGATTTTATGTTAAAAGTTTATTCTCTACCCCAAAAACCTATTCTAAATGGGTGGGATGGTGAGAAAAACACTAAGTTTTTATCCTATCTCTTTTTATGCTGAAACAGTTTCAAATAATCTTTACTTGTTAAGGAGATAGTATACAAGAGTGACACGACAGCTGGTAGTGGAAATTATCAAATTTCAAAGTGTTTCAGGGAAATCAGCTCCTTGAAAAGTAAAAAGCTTTAGAAATAAAAGATTTTCTATTTTCAAAGATTAAGAAGGAATGTAGCTTGACATCCAAAAATACAGCCATCTATTACAAACAGAAATAACAATTAAGAAATGTTTCTAAGTACTGATACTTCTTTTACATTGGGGCAAGAATTTTTCCATTTCTTTCAGAAGTTACTCATGGGATAAATATCATATGAAGTTTTTTGGAATAGTGTTTTACCCAAGCATGCATCAGCTCAAGGCTGACTGAATCAATGAGGGTGCGTCCACACAGTGGAGGACCATGTGGCTGTGAAGACAAATGAGGATGATTTCTCTGCATTGCTGCAGAACGAATGCCTGCATCTACTGTCAAATTAAAAAGAAGAGCAAGATGGAAATAAGTGTAGATATCAATAAATACACATGCACGTGCATATGTATCTATTTATTTGTTTTTCAACTGTAAGCATAAACCCTATTTTTTACTGTTACCTACAGGGAGAGGGAGAGTAGAAGGTAGAGGAGACAGGGAGAGTAGAGGGTAGAGGAGACAGGGGTCAAAGCCCCACATTTCTGATTATACCTGGTTTTGCACATCTGACCTTAAAATCATGTGAATTATATTACATTAAAAAGGTAAACACTAATGCCTAAAGGTTGAATGCAAAATGAAATAAACTTAGTGATATCCAATTGGCAAGCATGTGCCACCAGAGAAGAATTGTTTCACAACTTTAAAACGGAAACTGACTATATATCCCTAATAGGATATACCCAACAAAGAGGACAACCCACCTACCAAAAAAAAAAAAAAAAATCCTTGGGCTGGCGAGGTCAGGAGTTTGAGACCAACCTGGCCAACACGGTGAAACCCCGTCTCCACCAAAAATACAAAAAAAAAAAAAAAAAAAAACTGGGTGTGGTGGTAGGCGCCTGTAATCCCAGTTACTTGGGAGGCTGAAGCAGGAGAATTGTTTGAACCCTGGAGGTGGAGGTTGCAGTGAGCCAAGATCACACCACTGCACTCCAGCCTGGATGACAGGGCAAGATTCCATCTCAAAAATAAATAAATAAATAAAAATAAAAAATAAAAATTAAATAAAATCCTTCAGCATTCCCAGTAATCCTACTGCTGTTAAAAACCGGTGGTGGTGTTCCAAAATTGCTGTGTGTGCATATGAAGGATCATAAAGCATGGGGACAGCCGCTGTTGCTGGGAGCCAGGCTTTTTGGCATGAGATGGAAGAGATGCACATATAAAACCAAAGAATGCAGGCAAAACCCTACAATCCTAAATCGGAATTGAAAATATCATCATGAAGTCAGAATAAACTTTCTTATTTTAAAAAAGTATATCCCTGGCCGGGCGTGGTGGATCAAGCCTATAATCCCAGCACTTTGGGAGGCCGAGATGGCAGATCACAAGGTCAGGAGATCGAGACCATCTGGCTAACACGATGAAATCCTGTCTCTACTAAAAAAAATACAAAAAACTAGCCGGGCAAGGTGGCCGGCGCCTGTAGTCCCAGCTACTCGGGAGGCTGAGACAGGAGAATGGCGTGAACCCAGGAGGCGGAGCTTGCAGTGAGCCCAGATTGTGCCACTGCACTCCAGCCTGGGCAAGAGAGCAAGACTCTATCTCAAAA